CGCCAAAGGGTGGGGACTGGAAGGACTGATGCCTGCCTTTCCTGTGTGGGAGCATCATCTCGATGCCAGCATTGGTCCAGGAAGATTGAGGGAGTGGGTGATGGGTTGGGGAGGGTTCCCCGGAGGATCCAAGCTCACCTGAAGCTGGGCACGATGAAGGGTGGGGTCTGGAAGGACTCTATTGATACAAATTTAAGGCAAGTTTGTTATACCTATATGTCTACTCTTGTTTAGGCATTGTGTTTATATAATTCATTGAAATGTAATATAATTAAGTATAGATTATAGATAGTTACCTATCTATAATGGTCAAAATTTATAATCTGGTTAGTTAGGTTTTCCTGATATACAGAGATAAATTTCAAATGGATACTCTTCAAAACTTTCAAAGTCCTACAGAATATGGCATTTAAAATGGTTTATGGTTTTTCATGGCAATGAGATACAACTGTTACTGGCAATACCAATTATTTCAGAGAACAAGATGTGCATTGAAGAAACTTGTTATGGAGTTTGCTTTCAACATGCAAGATTAGCCATTTTGGCAAGAAACTGCTCTTGTCTGGAATGTATAACTGTATGAGATCCAAACAGGGCATACAGGACCCATAGAAAAGTGACAGCTGAATTTGCTACAAACAAGATGGATTCATGCGTCATGGAAGAATCTACCAGATATTCTGCAGGATACAGAGAAAAATGACTGACAAACTGCCAATACAGGCAGAAAGTTTCAAATTTCCTGCTTCACTGAGAAGTCTGCCAGACACACTATGGCCTATGAGCTAAAGATGAATGCTCCAATATTACAGAGGAACTTTGGGTGACTGATCAGGCAGTGAGATGTCTTTGTCAATTCTAGCATTTATATATTTACTTCTGATGTCTTTGATGGAGTTGAAGACAGATAGTAATGGGAGATGTTATTCTCTATGTGTTTCTCTTATTGGTTAATGAATAAAACACTGTGTGCCTAGTGGCCAGGCAGGAAGGATAGACAGGGATACCAGACGAAGAGTATTCTGGGAGGTGTAGACAGAGACGAGTCATGATGTGAGGCCAGGAAGAGAGGATGCTCACCAGGCATTCTCTGGTAAGATAAAACCATGTGACAACACTTAGATTAATAGAAATGCATTAATAATTAAGACAGAGATAGCCAATAAGAAGTCTTAGTCATCAGCCAATAGTTTCATAATTAATTTAGTGTGTTTGGGGGATCAAAGGCAGTGAGACCCATCCAGGTCAAATAACCTATTGTTGCAAGATAGTTATGGTTATAGTTTTCCTTAGTTATGACAACAGACAAGTTACACATAATACTTTAGACTCATAAAGATAGGACAAATGATGGACTATTTTCATCAAATTTTGCCAAATGTTAATGGACTAAAAATTGTTAACTATAGTCCTTACTTGATAACTGTTTTATTATATTTAATTTGACTATATTAAAGTTAAAACCTTTCTTTTTATTTAGACAAAAAAGAGGATATGATGGGTGTTGTCCTTTTTTATATATACTTCTTTTATTTGCTGATAAATAAAATACTGATTAGCCAGTCAGGGAGGTAGGCAGGACTAGGAGATGAGAATTCTGGGAAACGTAGGCAGATGGAGTTGCAATGTGAGCCAGAGAAGAGAGGACACATCAGGCATTATCTGGTAAGCCAAGATCACATGGAAATACAAAAATGAATAGAAATAGGTTAATATTTAATACAGAGCCAGCCACAAGTAGCCTTAGCCATCAGTCAACAGTATCATAATTAGTATAAGTCTTTGTGTGTTTATTTGGGGCTCAAGGTTAGTGGGAATCTGATGGGTCAGAAATATTCATTCAACAGTTTATGATGCAAATTACAGACAGACTAATTTCCCTTATGAACATAGATGCAAAAATTCTCAATAAAATACTTGCAACCTGAATCCAAGACCACATCAAAAAGATCATCCACTATTATCAAGCAGGCTTTATCCAAGAGATGCAGAAATGATTCAAGGCATGTAAATTGATAACTATAATCCACCTCATAAGCACACTAAAAAACCATGATGATCTCATTAGAAGCATAATAGTTCTTTGATAAAGCATGACCCATCATGATAAAAGTCATGGAGAGACTAAGGATATAAGCGATATATATCAGTATAATAAAGGTTATTTATAACAAGCCTATTGACATCATCAATCTAAACAGGGGAAAATTAAAAATACTAAAATCGGGAACAAGACAATGACAAAATGTACATTCTTTCCTTATGTAGTCAATATAATACTTGAGGTATTAGAGAGGAAAGACAACTTTAAAGAGATCAAAGGGATACAAACAGGAAAGGGAGAATCAAAGCATCTTTAGCTGAAGATGATACATACATGACTCTAAAACATCCACCAGAAAACTCCTTCAGCTGAAAAACCCTTTCAGAAGAACATATAAAAATCAGCAGTCTTCCTATATGCAAACAACAAAAAGACAGCAAAAGAAATCAGGGAAACAATATGTTTTACAACAGTCTTACAAATAAATTATCTTGGGGTAGTTCTAAGCAAATTTTAAACACTGAAGAGAATATCAGAAGGTAGAAAGAAGTTCATGAATCAGTAGGATTAATATACTGAAAAGGATCATCTTACAAAAAGCAATCTTCTGAACATAATCCCTAACAAAATCTCAACAAAAATTTTCACAGTAATTGCAAGGAAAATTTTCACCTTCATATGGAAGCACAAAAAATCAGGGTTGTAAAAAAAGCAACAACTAGATAATAAAAAATATTCTGCAGGCATCTCCATCCCCAACCACAAATGGTGCTACAGAGTTATAGTAATAAAACTAGCATGGCATTGGCATAAATATAGACATATTGATCAATGGAATCATACTGAAGATCCATATATAAGTCACTATACCTTTGAACATCTGATCATTAATAAAGAGGACAGAAATACAGTCCTGAAAAAAAGACAGCATTTTAACAAATGGTGCTGGTCACATTTGATGACAGCATGTAGAAGAATGAAAATATATCCATATCTACCACCCTGCACAAAATTCATCTTCTATTGGATTAAAGTCCTCAACAGAAAACAAGATACACTTGATAGAAAGAAAGTGGGGGAATAGTCTTGAACTCCTTGGTACAGGAAAAGTCTTTTTGAACAGAACACCATTAGTGCAGAAATTAAGAAAAACAAATAATAAACAGGACTACATGAAACTGAAATGAAACCTCCAGTTTGAGGAATGGGTTATATTTAAGTGAGTTTGGCCAAAGAGGCCCAATGGAAATGTGCAAACAACTCAGCCTGTGAATTCAATGCACTGCTGCTAACTCAGGAACTGACTTTTAATTTGTTTTCTAGATTAAGCTTTGTTAATCATCCCATTGTTATTCTCAGCATGTGTAGAAGATGCTATGAAAGTAGAACCTTGAGTGTTTGGAAGACAGAGTGTCAGGAGCTGTGGGGTGCCCCTTCTCATGTGTAGCTACTGATGAGTATCAAAGTCTTGAATCTTTCCAAGAATCTGCCTGCTCTTTCCACAGAACCTCACCCCACAGTCATTTGCATGTCTCTTTGGCTTTCCTGAGCTCATCTGACAGGAGTTATATCATACAGAACTGCCTCCGTTTTGGTAAGCTGTAATTTTCATTTATTTATTTGTTTTTATTTTTGGTTTTCCTGAAAGAGTTTCAGTGTTCTTTTATTATACCTGTGTGTATTTGTAGGGTTTTAAAAAGCAGATTTGACTCATTTACTTTGCACAATATTGTTCCAGGAGACAAAAGATAGTCAGTCTCCCACTCCATGAAATCATAGCTACTGTATGTCTTTCTCAGTCACCCTTAATATTTACAAAACATTTTTCAGCTGTCTCTGGAAGTAATGCTAAGTTTGGCTTTGTTTACCCTTTCCCTATTGAGGAGGAACAATCCTATGATACTGCTAATTGTACATGTTGCCTAGGCAGCAAATCATCCTTTTCTACCTTGGTTCCTATAATAATGATCATAAAATAGACATTTGTGTGAGGGATGATGGATTAAATCTGCAGATCATTCATGCTAATAAAATTTCTCTTACTGGTAAAGAGAAAAGAGGTTGAAACAGATTCTTTGTATATGTACAGATTTACATTTGAATACTTCAAGGGAAGACAAAGAAACTTGTACCCATTTTCACATGGATAGAGCATTCAACTTAGGTTAATGAATATTTACATTTAATACTCCATGGTGTGTTCCTAAGGTTACTGTCTAAACAATGTTTAATATCAATATACTAAGTCTGAACCAGATGCATAGTAATGAGTAAAATAGCAAGCTGAATTTTTGCACTAGAGAGGAATTTGGCACCAATTAATGTGTATTTATATGTTTGTGTGAGTACACATGCCTTTGTATGAAGTTAAGTGATAAATAAGTATTATCCTCATCATCAAGCACATAAGAAGCCTTAATTTCAGACAGACCTTAGGTAGCAGTGCATACACTAACGTTTGAGTAAGATATGCACTTGTCCTTGTGCTGACCCCCATTTGAAGAGTCTAAAGAACCCCTATGCTTAAGAATTTTCACACACTAGTGCAGGCCTCATTGCTTCCTAATTTAATTAAACATTACTTTGCCCAATACTCAATTATTCAGAAAATAAAACATGTTGAAAAGCAAACAAAAAGAGAAACTAAATATTGTTATTTGTATGTTGACATACAATACAAAAATACAGTGTTTCCTTCAGTATCAATTAGAGATGATTCCAGAATCCTGCCAGCTAGTTAGTGTATTGATGAAGTTTCTGTGTGGACTGTTAGTCAAAGATTTTCATGGGGAAACATGTGGACTGGGTCATTAAGAAATCTAGGTGCTTGTTTTTGTGATATTATATCTGCAAGTTTTAAAAAGGTGTACAATACATATTTTGAAGAAACGTAGGATGAATATACTGACAAATTCTCAGTAGTGACATTAGAAATTTGGGCATTATTTTACAGACAATGGTTGCTGTCCTACGGAGAACATTTGTAATCATTTTCAGTGTGGAATTCATAATGGGAACCTTAGGAAATGGATTCATTGCTTTGATGAACATCACAGACTGGGTCAAAAGAAGAAAGATTTCTTTAGTGAATCAGATCCTCACTGCTCTGGTCATTTCTAGAATCGCTTTGGCTTGCTTGGTATTCCTAGATTTGTGGATATTTGTGTTCTACCAAGCATTACACATGACTGGAAAAATGTTAAGATCGTATTTTATCTCTTGGACAGTGATCAATCATTGTAATCTCTGGTTTACTACAAGCCTAAGCATTCTTTATTTTCTCAAGATAGCCAACTTTTCTAACATTATTTTTCTTTATCTAAAATTTAGAGTTAAAAATGTGGTCTCAGTAACCTTGTTAGTGTCTCTATTTCTCCTGTTCTTAAATGTTGTAGTTGTAAAAATATACTCTGATATGTGTGTTGATGGTGTTCAACAAAATGTATCTCACACTTCCAGATTGTGTAACTATGCACAAATTTGCAAACTCCTTTCATTTACCAATCCTATGTTCTCAGTTGTACCCTATGTTATGTCCCTGGCACCATGTTTCCTGCTTATCTTCTCCCTGTGGAGACATCTGAAGAACATGCAGCACGGGGCGAAAGGATGCAGAGACATCAGTACCACAGCCCACACCAGAGCCTTGCAAACTGTCATTATTTCTATACTGTTATACACTATTTTCTTTCTAACATTTTTTGTGAAAGTTTGGAGTTCTGGGTCACATGAAAGACACTTTATCTTTTTGTCTGTCTGGGCTCTGGGAAATGCTGTTCTTTCTGCTCACCCATTTGTTCTGATTTGGGGAAACAGTAAGTTGAGGTACACTTCTGTTTCAGTGATGTTGTGGCTCAGACACAGGCTAAAAATAAAGAAGAATAGGCCGGGCGGTGGTGGCACATGTCTTTAATCCCAGCACTTTGGAGACAGAGGCAGAAGAATCTCTGTGAGTTTGAGACTAGCCTGGCCTACAAGAGCTAGTTCCAGGACAACATCCAAAGCCACAGAGAAACCCTGTCTCAAAAAACAAAAACAAAAACGAAACAAAGAAAAAAAGAAGAGCCCAGACAATCTAAGGAATCCTTTTGCATATCTTAAAAGAAAACCAGTAGACAAGAACCACCCTGAAGGAGCCCAATTTCATCTGATCTCAGAAGATAAGCAGGGTTGGGCCTTGTTAGTTCTTGGATAGGAGAAAAGAAATTCTCACACAAAGAAGTTCATATATTGTAAATATTTTGCTATAAGTACTTGTGAGTTAAACAATGGAATAGTCTGGAAAGAATACCATGTAACCTTTGTCATATTCCTAGACAGAAAATAATATCAGTATGTTCCATATGTTCCACTTAAATGGAGATGTCTTTTGTCAGGTTAAGTGCTTGAATGATGCAGAGTTAAGATCCACAAACAAGAGAATATAGGAGGCATTTGTCTTTGAGGGTCTAGTTTATCTCACTCAGTGTAACATTTCTAATTCCACCCATTTACTTGTAAGATTCATGATATAGTCTAAAGTAACCACAGAAACCAGGAAAATAGAAAAAGAACATGGGGGAGGGCCAATGCTGGAACTCTAGAGGACAGGACGCAAGTGCTATGGAGTGAAAAAAGAATAAAAACAATTGAGGCTCTTTTATTGTTGGGAGGCAAGAGGAATGACAGATAAATAACATTAAGGGTGTTTGAAAACCCATGGAGAAATATTACTTCATAAGTCCTCACAGATGTTAATGTAATGGAGTTGTATCACATTGGGTAATAATCTAATACAAGGGACACAATCTACCTAACAAATTTCTACTGCCAAATATGGGAAACCTCTCTTCAAAATTTTTTGCCAGGGGAGCCCCAGAAGCTCCCCCTAAATATAGGCTATTTTCATTGCCTTTGGTTGCTCCCAGGACTTGAAGTAAGCTTCCATTTTGGAAGCCATCACACACTTTACATGCAGATCTAAGAGGAATCAAATTGGAATTGTCTTGAAAGCCTCCTCTCTGAAGGCTAGCTCTCATAATATCAGAAGGTACTATGTGGGCTAAAATGTAAAAGTCACAAAAAGATGTCTATAGTCATAAGCATTATGAATTTTGTTTAGGAATTATTCTTTCAGAAATGGTAAGATGAGAAACTTATTGGTGGTATTTATGAACCAATGTGAAGATTTATTATTAAAATAATATGGATTAAAATAGCTAAAATGCTAGCATGGACAAGGAAGGGGCTCATAAATTCCCACCCCTTATTCAAGGAGCTATTGGCAATTCATGGCTGCTGGGGGAGGGGGAGTCAATTTTCTAAAGAGATGTGGCCCCTGAGAGACTACCCATGCTCCAGTAAAATGTCCTACACAGAAGCATGTATAACAGCACCAAGAAGACTCAGTGGGTTCATAAAAAATGCACGGGAATTTGGGAAGGAAATTGATGGGGGAGTAGGGGCCATCAGAAGCAAGGGATTGCAGGGTGGGTTTGATCAAAACATATTATATGCATGTATGAAATGTTCAGACAATAAAGACATGTTCATATGTTTTTAAAATATGTAGAAAAAATGTCAAATAACAAACAAATTACAGTATTAGAAACAAGTTGGAACCCAATATTAGACAGAATTCATGATGACAGTAGAACAAATTGGAAGAGACCTATTAAATGTATGTAAATTTGCATGTATTTTCTATTGTGGGTGATATAAATTTTATGATATTTTGTAGCTGCTTACTTTATACACAAAATTTTAATTTTACTTAAAAACACTTCAGTCAGGAGCTAGAGAGATTGCTCAGTGATTAAAGGCACTGGCCACTCTTCCAGAGATCCTGAGTTTAATTCCCAGCAACAACATGGTGGCTCACAACCATCTATAATGAGATCTGGTCCCCTCTTTTGGTGTTCAGGCATACATGCAAGCAGAACACTGTATACATAATTAAAAAAAGACTTAAATCAGTTTGTGATTTTGGTTCTTTATTTCCTTTTTCCCCCTTCCTTCCTCCCTCCTATTCTCTCCCTACCCCTTTTCCTTCTTTCTTTCTCTCTTTCTTTCGTTCTTTCTTCTTCCTTCCTTCCTTTCTTTCTCTCTCTCTTCCTTCCTTTCTTCCTTCCTTCCTTCCTTCCTTCCTTCCTTTCTTTCTTTCTTTCTTTCTTTCTTTCTTCCTTTCTTTGTGCTGGACATTGATCTCAGAGGCTCACACAAATGTGAGGCAAGTGACCTTCTTTCCCTGAATAAACCCCAGGTGATAACAATTCCCATATTTTCATTCCAAAATGCTATTTTAATGTTTTTGCCAGCAACCTTAATAAATTAGTAATTTTTAAAATTGATGATATCTTATAGTCATATTTTAGTAGGCTATAAAGTTTTTAGATTAGTCACAGTTCATGAGTGGTTTAGGAATATGGACCTATTTAGATAAATTGGTGTTTTGTCAAACTGTCTTCTAAATATCTGTATTTGTACCAATAGATTAGTCTCATTGTTAGTCTTAGAGAAGCTTTTCTTTGCTGCATATGGTGGTTAGTTCAGACTAGTAACTGGTCAATGTTCTGAGAACAAATGGCCATTGTGTAATTGGTACTTTATATGGGGGCAATTATGTCATCCCTTTCAAGACTTAGGTAATGTAGGACAAGTACGAGAAGAAGGAATGTAAGAGCTGAAGGATGGAGGATCTAAGTGTGTTATAAACTCTCTTCTATCCGTGATCATAGTTCTGTTGCACCCAAGAACTCACAGTCACAGTGCTTACCTGCATTAGTTCTTCACAAGACTAGGCCAATCAAGATTCCATGATGGACCTTGTAAAGCTCTCTTCTCCCTGAGGAGCTAGCAGTAGCAAGTTAATGGTTGGCTGCAAGGAGGCCAAGTCATATTACTCAGTTATACAGCCACTGAAACATTGTAGCTTAAGTAAATAACATTCTAACTACAGTCCTGTAGGCAATTCCAATTAAAGACAGAAAGGCACAAAAACAAATGAAGTGTGGGGAGGACAGTAGAAGGAATGCAGTAGAAATGTGGTAAGATATCTACCCCGCCCATATCTGTGACACTAACAGGCCCATTTGGGCGTGGTCAGAGATGAGGACATTATCTGGGATCTAGGATCCCAGAGATCTCTTTTGCTGCTGTTCTGGTCACAAGGAGGATCCTTGGAGCTGGAACCTGTGGCAGTCATCGACCTCTTGTGTAAGTGTAATCTCCCTGAATAAACTTCACTTAACCTGTACTGAGTCTAGTGAGTCTTGATTCCCACACAATAGCAGGATAGAGAAGGAGATAACAGAATATAGGGGAGGGCATTGATCAAATATCACACAAATCATAGAAAGGTGTTTATATATAGGGTGCTAGTACTGATTTTACAGCAGTAATAAAAGACACATAAGAAAATTAGTAATTTTCATAGATAAGTGAAAAACTTTAAACAGATTAAGCCTGAAAGGTCAACTAGTAAGTCAAGGGAATCATGGCCAGCTACCCTATGTTCAGTCCTGTTATGCCTTCAGTAATTTAGAGTCTTGGGAAGCTTTAGAGATGAGGAATGCTTTGTTTATGTCCTGTTTTCACCAACAAATTATCCTAGAAGTCAGGTATTGCATTCATTATAGAGTTATTTTCTTCATTAAGGTATTTATTTATTCATATGTATATATGCCTCCAAGTTAGCATCAGCTGCGAACTTGATACAATGCAGAATTTTTCAAGAGAGTCTCAGTTTGGAGTTTGCCATGACTAGACTGACTGGGGAGTATGTCTGTGGTATATTTTCTTTGTGGCAGGGGTGTAGGGGAAGGCCCAACCTTCTGTGGGCAACACCATCCCAGGCAGGTCAGCCTGGGCTGTGTAGGAAAGGCAACTGAATGCAAGCCAGAGATCAAGTCAGTCAAGAAAATTCCTCCAAGATTTCTGCTTTAGTTTCTGCCTGAGTTCCTGCCTTGACTTCCCTCAGTGACGTACGGACTGTGACATGGAAATTTAAACCAAATAAACCTTTGCCTCCCCAAATTGTTTTTAGCTATAGTGTTTCTCACAACAACAGGAAAGCAACCTAGAACACAGTGTATCATATTTTGTTTTAGTATCCTAGAGATACTATAATAAAAATATATGCTATAAAATAAGAAGTGAACATACGCATTTTGGAGCTACTCAAAGAGTGTATTTTAATATTTATACAGCAAGTGATATTGTCTTAGTTGCATTTTTATTGGTATGAAAAGACACCAAGATCATGGCAACTCTTTTATTTCCTAGATTTTTTTATTAAAATTAGAAATAATCTTGTTTTGTGTAACAAAATCAGTTCCCTTTCCCTACCATCCTCCCATGTCCCCCACCAACTCCCATCCCATTCCACTTCTGCTCCCAGGGAGGGTGAGGCCTTCCATGGGGGATCATCAAAATCTGTTACATCATTTGGGACAGGGCTTAGGCACTCTTCCTATGTATCCAGGCTGAGAGAATATTTCTCTGTGGGGAATGGGATCCCAAAGTATATTCGTATACTAGGGATAAATACTGTTCTACCAGATGTCCCATAGACTGCCCAGGTCTCCTAACTGACACCCAAGTTCAGTGGGCCTGGTTCTATCCTATGCTGGTTTCCCAGTTGTTAGTCTGGGGACCACGAGTTCCCCCTTATTCAGGTCAGTTGTTCCTGTGGGATTCCTCCCCACCATGGCAATATCTGCAGCTATACCACCCTGAAGGCACCTGATCTCATCTGATCTTGGAAGCTAAGCAGGGTAGGACCTGGTTAGTACTTAGAAGGGAGACCATGGCAACTCTTACAAAGAAAACATGTAATTTCAGTGGCATACTTAGAGTTTCAGAGGCCCAGTCCATTTTCATGAGGATGGAGAGAGCAGCAGTTTGCA